ACAGGTTCTTCTGCTGGCGGCGGCTGAACTCCAGCGCCCGGCTCCGGTGGCACCTTCGAGCCTTGTGGCATTTCCTCCTCGAGGGCTCTTTCTTCTGATGCGCTGCCTTCTCCGCCTGGGATTGCAAGAGGAGAAGGCAGAGGCGAGGTTGAGAGCATCTCGAGACAAAACCGAGAACCAGGAGTTCCGAGAAACGACCTTGACGCGGAAGTGGAGTGCCTCGGGGCTCCTCTGTAGTAGACTGAACTTCCCCAGCACCTCCCTTCCAGGCAGGCTGCTCCGAGGGACACAGACAAAGGCAGCCACAGGAAGAGCGAGGGTCTGAGAGCAGCACAGACCTGGGGAGGAGTCTCAGCCTGAACACTCACTAACTGGGCAAGCTTCCCAAGTCAGAAAGACCGCAATACTTCTAAAATGCCCAAGCACAAGAACGCAGGCTTACTAAACAGGAAGAGCTCCGTGGCGTAGCGGTTATGCCTTGGCCTGCGACCTGCAAGGTCAGTGGTTCAAAACCACCAGCCGGGCCGAGGGAAGCATTCCCATAGAGTTACTGTCGCCGGCTTTCTCGGTCTCTGGCTCTTGCCACGTGCTGGTGTTTGAGGACCCTCGCTGCTTCAGATGTACTGTCAGCCTGAATCAAGAAGAGTGAGCCAGACTTTAGGCTCAGGTCCTGCAGGGGGGCAAGGGAACAGCTCGCAAAATGAAGGTGGTACACAGAATAGCAACAGCTGATGAGGAAACGCTTCAGAGTCCTCTTTAACGATTGGCTGTGAGAAATCTAGCTGCTATCGGCGAGGCAGACATGATTAAAGAGGACGGGGCAGGCATGCATCCCTCCCTGCTAACACATTTGCTGTCGGTGGCCATGCAGCAGCCACACCAATCACAGCAATGCTTGCTGGGAGATGAAGTCAGCTTGGTGCTGGCAGCGTAACCAGTCGTAGGAAATTAGCTGAGCAGCTCCGGGGGTGAGGGCTGCATCGGAGACATGGACAAGGAACACGACAACGTTCAGGTCGTAGAGAAGCTTGATAAGGGTTCAGGATGAAGCTAACTAGTAACGGGAATATTATGTGTACTAAGAACGCTGTTTCTGCAGCTTTTATTATTATTTTTTGGTCATTTGATGTGCACGCTACTCTTCCTCCCAGGATGTGATATCCGGGTCAAAATGCTGCCTGGCTGGTAAAGCTTGAGGGTGTTCGGGTGTTAGGGTTCTTAATTTTTCTGTTTGTTGGGGAGTTTGGGGGGGGGGTGTACGGTGTATGTATGCATGTGGGGGTGTGTGTGTGTGCACAGTGGAGGGCAAGTTGGAAACAGTTCTATGTACCTTCCCCTTTCCGCAGTCGAAATAAAACAAATCTTTACATTAAAAAAAGGAGAGACTTTCTTGGAAACTCCCAGGGGTGGTTCTACCCGGCCCTATCAGCTCGCTGGGTGGTTCTACCCGGTCCTATCAGCTCGCTGCGTGGTTCTACCCGGTCCTATCAGCTCGCTGGGTGGTTCTACCCGGCCCTATCAGCTCGCTGGGTCGGCATCGACTCGATGCGAGTGAGCCTGGCTTTGTATTAGTAACCTCCCAGCAGCGCCTCAGGAGAAAGACCTGGCAATCTGTTTCCATGGAGATTACAGCCGGAAAAATCCTAAAGGGCAGCGCGCCTCTCTCCCAGTGGGGTCTCTTTGACTCAGAAGCATCCAGCGATGGCAGGGAGCAAGCCAGAAGAAAGCACACGCTCGTTTTTCGGTCTAATCGTTTTTAACCTCTGAGATTGTAACTAAAACCAAAACCAAGGGCCAAAG